AGGGCGAGGAGGGGTCATGGCAGTTGTAACCTTCCCTCACAGCCGTAGCCCGAAAGCTACGTGTTTGCAAATGCTCCTTTGCCTTACCTCTCCCGCCTTCTCTTCCGTTACTGCAGCTTAATTAAATAATGTGGGGGGTGGGGGGGTTGTTGGTTTGGTTTTTTTCAATTTGTGGTGGTAGCAGTTATCTAGAGAAGAGGGCAGGAAGGACGTGCTCACAAGTGGGGCCTTTCAATGGTCAAACAGGCTTCCACAGCACAACCTATGTAAAATGTGTAATCCCCCATCCTCCTCCTGCCGTGCATGGCTTAACGCCTTATGAAGGGGCAAAGAAATTAAGACCTTGATCCATTAACAAGGGTAAATTCAAGTCAAGTGGCAGAAGCAGCTACTTTCTTTCAGCAGTAACTTCCACCATTGCTAAGATGTCCAAGTTTACATAGTCCATGTCTGTGTGCCAGTCTCTAAGCTGCAAGTAACCAGGAGCTGGTTCTCAGGCTTTCCAGATATCCCTGTTTCTAGGATGTCCATATCTGGGGGAGAAGCAGGATGAGTAGCAGAAGCTTTAGAGAATCACAGAATAGCAGGGGTTGGAAGGGACCTCTAAAATCATCTAGTCCAACATCCCTGTCAGAGCAGGATCACCCAGGAACACATCCAGGTGCATTTCAAATGTTTCCAGGGAAGGAGACTCCACAACTTCTCCAGGCAGCCTGTTCCAGTGCTCTGTATTTTAACTATATCAGTCATTTGGCCAAATTTTTGGAATATCTTACCAGGAAAAGAGTTCACAAAGGCTTGACAGCAATTTTTCAATGAAGGTATACAATGCAAATCTCTTTTACTCCAGTCATTGCTGTGACTAGGCTGTTTTCCCTTTCCTACAGGACTGCTACTCATCTAAACTGCCACCACTTCTGCAGCAAGCAGAATAGGGGATAGTCCATCAAACTAGTGCCCAGTGTGCTCCTTTCTCAACCTCAGTTCATCTAACTATGTAGCTAGACAGTTTGCTAGCCACAAACATTTTGCATTTTGTTATAAGTGACCCAAGGAGACAGAGGAACTTTCCTCTCTCATCTTCCATGAGGACAGAAGTCCATTAAATGTCTCAACTACAATGCAATTTGTTATCTTCTGTCCTGTATGTTACTTTGTGTCTTCAGTTATTTGAGGTAAAAAAATAAACTACTGCTTCAACTTTCATGAATTATTGTTTAATGCAACCATATGTAAAATGTTCTGTTTCAGAATATGAATTGCAAAATAATCCTCTGGGAGATCATAGTTAGCCTGTCAGCATTATCTGCAGCACCTTGTTGAAATTAGTCTCTTTTGGAAGATACAGTTTACCAATAGAAGTTTTACTTGAAACCAAGTTCGGAAGGTGCAACTTAATAAAAAGCAATAAAAAAATGTAGATACACTTCATTAAAATGTTCTAAGATACTCAGAACAGTCGGCTTACTGAAGTTCTAGGCCTCAGCAGTTTTCATTTACAGCACAACATTTGTAATATCCTCAGATGCAAGAGATTTTGTAGCTTCTTACCACACCATAGATCTTTAGAAACAAGGGAAAATTTACAGTAAGCAAGATGTGACTGTATGTTAATATAGCTACAATATTTCTTTTTTATGACTTTGTAAGAACAATCAATGCCCAATCATGTAGGCTTTGGTATGAAGGAGTGGCTCATACTGACTCTTTGCTCCAAATTTCTCTAATAAATATTGCTATTTTAGTATTTATATAAATAATTTTATCGAAGAAATGCAGATTGTTTTATTCAGTTCACATGGTGGTTTTGTTCAATCCATTTTCAATGTAAATTATACTTGTTCTAATAGTATCAAAATCATCCTTCTAGGCACAAAACTAATTTAAAGTTGCATTTTTTTATGCCAAGTAAAATGATCAACAGTGATGAAAGACCTAATTTTAAAACAACATTTATAAATCAAAGGAAGTGTCAAGACTTCAATAAAAAACAAACGTTGAGTATCATGTTGTACTGCTAACTAAAAAAGCACTGAGTAGGAAACAATTTAAAAATCCCTTAGCACTTCAGATCTTTCAAGCACACTGTAGGCATCCACTAACATTCAGACACCTCCTCAGGCATTGGGTGGTGTTACATTTCAGAGATGTAAGAAAGAGAGAAAGGGTTAAGGTGATTTACCCATGGTCACAGGGGTGAGCGTTCAAGTCAACATTAAATTTCAGAAGCTCCTGACTCACTTTCCATGCTCAAACCACAGTCCTTTTTTGAGGAAGTAGGAGGAGGCAAAGGGGAACAGGGTGGGTTTCCCATGCTTTTAAGGATCCCAATTTTTCCAATGACAGCCCTGATGGAAAGAATTCAGTTACAACTTTTGACTGTATTTCCTTCTAGTTTCTCTTCACTCCTGCTATCAGCTCTTCTGTTCTCCAGCTGCAGACTTAGAAGAAGGGTTTCACATGGAAAGCAAAGTTGGAAAGAAAAGCTTACTGCATAGAAACTTTTCCCACATCTTAAAACCACTTTTAAGAGCGTAAAATTGTCACACCAGCAAAGTGCTGTTCACAGCTAGGATTTTTCCACTCTTT